TTGGGTTAAACTGTCTCCTGATAAAAAAGCATTTTCTGACATAGGTTTTATCACACACACAAGTCTTTCATTGGGAGAATTCTCACCTTTAAAGTGCACATCCATGTGTGTATGTGTGTATGTATGAGAGAGCGAGAGAGCGAGCGAGAGAGAGAGAGAGGGAGATTGAGATTTGGCGATATGGACGTTTAGGGTTGCTGCTGTGACATAAATTCTGAAAGTAGTACAATTATTAAATAAAATCCAGTTAGGACTCCAAATCAGATTCTTACCCTAACTTTGGTTTCTATTGGGAAAAGGCAAATGAGGAGAAAATAATAACTTACGTTTGTGTTAGGAAGTTGAAGCAACATTAAGGGCAGGTTGTTGTCTCAAGACCATTTAACTCAGTCTGCTCAGCTTGCCGTCACACCTCCAGTCCTGGTTTGGTGTTGATGGCTGAGGGGCTTTTGTGAGACACTCTGGAGGATTCTTAACCAGGCCCAGGAATGGGCTAGGCTGGAATCACACTTCACATGTCAGTACATGTATGTTCACATGTATGTTTTCTCAGTAGAAGCTTTATAGCTTTCAAGAGTCAGAAGATGGTACAGGGGCCCTGAAGAGGTTAATGGTGATCTCATTGGAAGACATTATTCTGAGTTAGTACACAAGTGCTTTGCATGAGGACGGGACAGAGAGGAGCCACAGTCTTTGGTGGTAATCCTTTCACTCAGACATGGCTTTTCCCTACACCATGCAGTCAACAAATATTTATGAAAAAAGTATACTTTGTTTTCTTAAACACAAGGTACTGTTCTGAGCAGTGAAGACACGGTAGGCTGGGTTTTTATGGGGGCAGGAAGGCCTAAATCAAATAAAAGCTGAAGTGGGTGTATAACTGTAACCTGTCGTAGTGCAATGGAGTGAAATGAAGATGGTTTAATCTACAAGGCCAGCAAGAAATGTCACAGAGAAAGCAAGCAATAAATGAATATGGAGGTAGGCTGACAAGATGCAGTGCTTGATATAGGGAGCCCAAGCGTGCCTCGGGGGATCTGAACATTGGAGAGATTGTAGTTTTCACCCTGAAGGCAATTATAGTGCCTCTAGAGAGGAGTGACATCTGCAGTACGCAGTTTGGAAAGTTTCCTCTGGCCCCTGGGGAACACACACACACACACACACACACACGCAGGAGAATGGCTAGAATGGGTACACAAGTTAGGGGCTTTGGAATTGGTGATGCAGACTGGTCGGAGTTGGTGAGAAAGAATGTAGTGAGTCCCATCTGAGGGGCACTAGTCTACAGGTGGCTTCAGATGCGGAGTGGCCAGGAGAGACCTATCTTTGGTCTCCAAGCAGAGTGAGTTCTCTTGTGGAGACAGTCCGTATTGCAAGTGTATCCGATGTTTGTCAGGGGCCACTGGATTTGTGGATATGGGCAGACGGCCAGGAAGAGATGTGCCATGAGAGGAACCTCAGGTTCAGAACAGACACAGCTGTAGTGGGGAACTGGATGAAGGAGGAAGAAAATGAAGACCTTACCAGGATAGGTGCCCTGGAGGTTATTGGGGATGTGACTGGAGTGGGTGGAAAAAGAGTGGAAGGTTTGGAGCTGGTGAGCCCAGGGATGAGAAGTGGCCACTGTGAAGAAGGGGAGGAGACTCGAGGGAGATGAGTCTCAAGATGGCTTGTTGTCTTCTTCCTGGTAATTGTTTGGAACTTGGTGGAGAGGATCCAGTTGAGAACTCACAGCTGAGTATGAAGAGGAGGGAAAAGATAATTGAGAGTGTGAAGTTCTGTTCTTCATGGTTCCCAAGGAGGACTTGTGAACATTGCTGTTTGGCAAAATGATGCCAGGGACTTGATGGCCGTGTTCCTGTATGTGTCTTGCTAAGATAGTGTTTTACCTGTAAGATTCAAAGTCATCCTAATTTTGTCCCCTGCTTGCACACCATCTTTCAGAGGTGTTTAGTACCTTTCCCTCAACAGGGCTTGCTGAACATCCGATAAAAGTTGTGGTGCCTTTATGCCTTTGAATAATGGATTGTGACAGATTGTCTTTTATTGATATTAATATAAGATCTGTTTTACACTGCCAAAAGCTTGAGTTCATTTTTATTTAAAAAACAAAGAAAGGACATCAATCAAAATTACTCCTATTCTGGCTGAAAAGCCCAGGAGAGTATTTCAGGCATGGAAAGCCAAGACACTGTGGCAGAAAATAACCTACATGAAGGATCTCTGTGAGTGAGACCCCAGTGGAAAGAAGGGGATCAAAGATGGATGTACTTTTCTCTGAAAGGAGGAGAGAACTTCCACTTTGTATATAGCCCTGTCTAAATACCGACCGAGTTTGTGGACTCAAAATGCTTCCATAGCCTTGGCAGCTCATGTCAAGAGCCTCGGGTGGTCACTGACCTCAAAAATAAGAGTGTTAATTGTTAAATCAACAACAAGACTCACTGTGCACTTACTCCCCATGTTGGACCTCTGTCCTTAATGAGGTGTAGTATGAGAATTAACTGTAACACCTATCTTCAAACAGTACTTTATACTTTGTGCGTCTGTGTACATGCAAACAGTGGAATCTCTACTTAGTATAGAGTTGGTCTTCTTTATATAAAAATAATTAAAAATCAATCTTAATGAAGAATGGGGTGGGAGAAGGAGTAGGAGGTGGAATGGGAGTGGAGGTGGGAGGGCAGGAATGGGGTGAAGAAACACTATATTCCTAAAAGCTGTACATACGAAATTTGTATTCATTAAATATAAACCTTAGAAAAAACTCCTAAAACACCAGACCTGGCTTTTCTCCTTTTGTCCTGAGTGAGCCTTATGTGTCCATCAGCTGCATTCTCATCAGAAAATGTTGTTACTTAAAATATGGACTCAACAGATGTGACTTTCCTCTTAAGTAAAAGAGAGTCAAGAATAGGAGCCAAGTTCTTTGCCTTTGTTGATGGCCTTTTAAGATTTAATTTTGGGGCCGGCACCATGGCTCACTTGGTTGATCCTCCACCTGCAGCGCTGGCAACCCATATGGGTACTGTCGCTCCCCCTCTTCGTGGAGGAACGACACAGGACCCTGCGCTGTTCTTTCGTCTGCTCGGCCCTCCCCGGGTTTGCTGCTGGTTCTTCCCGGGTTGGCTACTATCCCTTCCACCTCCGTGGAAGGGCAGTTCCCCCTGGCCACATTCCCCACTTCCGCAGGGGAGCGGCACACCGCCGGCCGGCTCTACTTGGGGGCTGCACAGGTGTTCCTTCAGCTAGATGTTCCCCATAGATGTTCCTAGTGCATGCCGTCTCTCTCCTCCTTTATAGTCCTCCTCCGCCAATCCTAACTCGGCTGCCCACACGCCGAGTACGCTGCTCTCCTCTAATCAGGAGCAAGTCCTACAGTTTATTAGCTGAACTCGAGGCAGCTGTGCGGAAGCTGTTTACTTCTCTCCCAACGCCATATTGTGGGAGAGCAGATGCATAGAATAAGTCTTAATTCCAGTAACTCAGTCTAGTCCGGTCTGCTCCCCACAGGTACCAGGTTCTAGTCCCGGTTGCTCCTCTTCCAGTTCAGCTCTCTGCTGTGGCCCGGGAAGGCAGTGGAGGATGGCCCAAGTGCTTGGGCCCTGCACCCCATGGGAGACCAGGAGAAGCACCTGGCTCCTGGCTTCGGATTGGTGCAGTGCCAGCTGTGGTGGCCATTTGGGGAGTGAACCAACGGAAGGAAGACCTTTCTGTCTCTCTCTCTCACACTGTCTATAACTCTACCTGTCAAATAAAAAAGATTTAATTTTAATACTTGTCAATAATTTAATCCTTAGTTTATTTTAGGCTTTAGTCATCTTTCCCTTTAAGCCAGTCAGGAAAATCATGTGCTCCAAAGATGCTTTGTTTTGGTGAACATTCAGATGCTTTGGTTACTAGAGTGGATCGTCACTTAGTTTTGTATTTATTGTGTGTTTGGGAGCTGGGCTGTAACAATGTCTCTCAGTAACCCTGGCATTCTCACCCTTTGCAGTACCCTTCTGCACTTACCCAGCAGCATGCTGTAACAAGTATAAAGTACTTGAGGTGTATCCTGTGTAACTTTAGGCCTTGGCTTTGAAGATTGTAGGCAACTTTTGCTGATAAACTCTTTTTTTTCTATAAACTTTTCTTCCTTTCTTTTTTTTTAATTCACAGAGAAGCAGAGACAGAGAGAGAGAGGTCTTCCATCTGCTGGTTCACTCCTCAGATGGCTGCAGTGGTTGGAGCTGGGCCAATCTGAAGCCAGGAGCCAGGAGCTTCTTCTGGGTTTCCCATGTGGATGCAGGGGCCCATGTACTTGGGCCATCTTCTACTGCTTTCCCAGGCTACAACAAAGAGCTGGATCAGAAGTGGAGCAGCCAGGACTCTAACTGGCACCCATGTGGGATGCTGGCACAGCAGGTGGCAGCTTTACCCGCTATGCCACAGTGCCGGCCCTGCTGTTAAACTCCTGCAAGCCCTGAGTCCCATGTAAGAACCCTGGCTGGCCTATAGAATCACGTGGGAGATCCACATGGAGAGGTGGGGTTGTGAAAAGAGGGAAGATGAGCTATCCCATTATCTGTGAGGTGCGTGTCTTGGCAGACAATCAAGCCTCTAAGCCTGGGTGCCAGCAACCAGAGCTGACATTGCACAGAGCAAAAGAGCTGCTCAGCTGAGACCTGCTGGCCCAAGGAATTATTAAAGAGAGCAAAATGACTGATATTTGGGGCCACTGAGTTTTCAGGGTTTGATAACAGCAATCAGTAACCAAAGCAATATTTGTGTGAGTATGCATACACATGTGTATGTGAATCAGGATCCTATAATGGCAGGTATTTTGGTGTATTGAGTTTCCAAAACTGGTCACATCTGAAATTATAGAAGGTATTATATAATCACTTAATTTGATGCTTTCTTAGACTTTCTTCAATGAGGAAATAGTACTGCAAAATAATGATGGGACATGTGATACTATCTTCTGCCTTCTAATATTTCTCTCTCCTTTATAGATTTTCTTTAAGAATTCCTTTGAAGCCCCAGCATTTTCATGAACAGGAAGAGGCTGCAGTCTTCAGCACTGAGTTAAAGAGCAGTGCCTTTACTTTCGGATGGGTGCTACTTGCTGACTTTCTGCCTACGCAGAGGCTGGACCTCAAGCCAAGGTTACTTACTCCCTGTGCTGTGAGTCACCTTTCTCCTTGCCTCAATTCTGGGACTGCATATGCATGTCTGTGCCCATGGAGTCCCAGTGTGGTGGGGTCATGCATCAGCTTGCTCATGGGGCCCACCCTCCCCACGTTCTCCTCCTGCCCCTCTGTGGAGGGAGCCTAGCTCCCCTGTGAGTGTTGGCTCCAGCTCAGGTCCCTAAGGCAGCACCTATGGCAGACTGCCCACAAACACTTCTGCCCCTGCCTTGTATTAAACTCCATACCGACTGTCAATAGAGCTTATTGTGGTTCCTAAAGGAAGAGGGCTTTCTGTTCATGGCAGAGAAAGGATTGAGGTGGATTTGGAGAAAGAGCAGAACCCCCTCTCCAGACATCGTGATGGCAGCCACCTATGATGAGACAAACTCAAGGGTGTGACTGCTTGGGGTAAAAGGGAGGACCCCTGGAACCGAGTGGGTTGTCAGACTCCCTGTACCTCAATCATGGCACAGAGTTTGGCGCCCACACTTGGAGTCGCTGCCTGGAACACTGTGTATCTCCGTGGTAACCAGGCTGCTGGAGGGTGCTTGACACTGCGTAGGAGCAGGGACTTCGCCTCACCTAGCAGAGGATGTGTCTAATGACAGCAGGCTCAATATTGACAACCTTGGTGGGGCATGGGTGGAAGTCAGAAGAGAGATGGTTTAACAAAAAACTGAGATTTCTTGCACACTTGAAATGTTACAGTAGGGTTCATATTCTCTGTGCAAAGTATTTCACTGCATGCCTTTTGTTAATGCTTATTCATGTTATTTACTTGAAAGGCACACACACAGAGATAGAGAGATAGATAGGGAAAGGGAGAGTGGGGCGGGGGAGAGAGAGAGCGCGAGCTATCTTCTATCCTTCTATCTGCTGGTTCATTCCTTCAGATTGCCACAACAGCTGGGAATAGGTCAGGCCAAAGTCAAAAGCCAGGAACTCCATCCAGGTCTTCCAGTTGGGTGATAGGGACCCAGATTATTGATCCATCACCTGCTGCCTCCATGATGCATAATCAGGAAGCTGGATTAGAAGCAGAGTGGAGCTGGGACTTGATTCCAGGTACTCCAATATGAGACACAGGCATTCCAATGACTGCTTAACCTACTGTACCACAATGCCCTTCCCTCACTGCAGGTCTTTAGTCAACTCTTCCTAGGGGCAAAGCAAGGAGGCAAATGCCCATGGTCACAGGGCAGCATTGGCTATGCTGAGACTGCCCCTCTTGAGAACACAGGGCTCATTCCCTTCTGCTTTGTGTTCTGTGAGTTCAGACTGTGGTGTAGACAGACCGGGAAATCCAGGGCTTAGTTTCACACTCAGCGCTGTCCTATCCCATCCTATTTCTCACACCCTGGGGAAACAGGCAGGGATTAATCAAACTAAACACAAAAGGACTCAGTTTAACCATTGGTATGGAGATCCCTATGTCATTTGATGTCTGATCTTTGAAGCTCCTGTTCACTAATTCACATGGGCTGAGATCTGGATACTTTTCTCAGCTTACTGTGGCCATGATTCTGGAGATTGCTTTTGCTCCTCCTGGGTCAGCCTGTCCTGGAAGGGGCTTCCTGTGCCCCGTGTGGGCACAGCCGGGGGGGAGGATCCCAGGGCTTGCAAACATCTCTAGCATGTGGCTTTTGCTAGCCAGGTCTCCTCCTGTCTTTTCCTCACCAACCTTCGGCAGACCTCTCTTCCAAAGACACTTCTGGCAAGGTTTGCTCTTATTTTACACCTACAATTTTGCTTCATAAAATCAGTGATCTAACACTGTGGATGCAATGGATGCATTTTTAAGTGCAGTGTCTTTTAGGGAACTGGAAGGGAAGTGTCTGTATTTCTACCTTGAGCCAACAGCCTGAAGTCATTTTTGGAATCTGAGTTTTATTTCAGATTTAGCAGAATGTTCCCGATGTTGATTCTGTTTCTATTAAAGTAATTCAAGGAAAATACATCCTCCTCCATTCCTGCCTCCCTCCATCTCTGTTTTCCTCTCCCAGCTCCTTCCTTCCTTTATCAAGAAGTCAACTTACACCTTCGTGTGCATACAGTTTCTTGGGTATTCAAAAAACATATTTCCAGACTCAGTTGTAGAAATGTAAGTAGAAAAGCACTGACCGTGGGCTCCCCCTGCAATGCAGGAGGCATTCCCCACTGCCTTCGTTGGAACAGGGCAGCCCTGTCGGAATCTCCTCCTCCCACTGGTGATTTCCTCAGAGTTTGGCAGTAGTCTTGGCAAAATATATGCTGGTGGGTTGGTCGAAAGATTGTGTGGGTGACTTAATGAACAAGACTGAAGACCTAAAGCAATTGGGTGGGCAGAACCGAAGAAATGCGTCCCACACTTGGAGATCACATCTCAGTGTTCTCCACACTGAATTCATTCAAGAAAGTTAAGAATGACCACACGTTATTGGTGTTAGATTTCTTTTTCCAGACCAAACTCCATACTTTCTACTTCTTACTAGAATGAAGCATTCAACGTGAACAAGCACATTTTAAAATGACTGTTTGGTTATATAAATCTTGTGATTAAAAGGCAGGCCACACAGGGATTGTGGGGGCTGGAGAAGTGGGGCACAGTGCACCTTGTGGGGTGTCGACTCAGACTCATGATTGCTCTTGCGTTTACCATCATCCTCTTGCTCATGCGTATGCTCACACTCATGCTCACACTCACAGTGAGGATCGGGCTCGCGCTCCAGATGCTTACAGTCACTCATCCTCGTGCTTGCACTTACATTCACACTCAGGGTCACACAGGCTCAGGCTCACTGTCTTAAGCTAACACACCCAGTCATCTTGTGCTGACATGTATGCTCACCTCACACTTGTGTTCACACTCATACTCATCCTTGTCCTGACACGTAAGCTCACCTCACACGCGCTCACACTCAGTCATCCTTGTGCTGACATGTATGCTCACCTCACACTCATGCTCACACTTATACTCATCCTTGTGCTGACATGTATGCTCACCTCACACGTGCTCACACTCAGTCATCCTTGTGCTAACACATATGCTCACCTCACACTTGTGTTCACACTCATACTCATCCTTGTCCTGACACGTAAGCTCACCTCACACGTGCTCACACTCAGTCATCCTTGTGCTAACACATGCTCACCTCACACTCGTGCTCACACTCATACTCATCCTTGTGCTGACACGTATGCTCACCTCACACGTGCTCACACTCAGTCATCCTTGTGCTGACACATATGCTCACCTCACACGTGCTCACACCCAGTCATCTTGTGCTGACACGTATGCTCACCTCACACGTGCTCACACTCAGTCATCCTTGTGCTGACATGTATGCTCACCTCACACTCATGCTCACACTCATACTCATCCTTGTGCTGACATGTATGCTCACCTCACACGTGCTCACACTCAGTCATCTTTGTGCTGACACGTATGCTCACCTCACACTCGTGTTCACACTCAGTCATCCCTGTGCTGACACGTATGCTCACCTCACACTCGTGCTCACACTCACAGTCATCTTGTGCTGACATGTATGCTCACCTCACACTCATGCTCATCCTTGTGCTGACACGTATGCTCACCTCACACCTCCTCACACTCAGTCATCCTTGTGCTGACATGTATGCTCACCTCAAAATTGAGCTCACACTCACAGTCATCTTGTGCTGACGTGTATGCTCACCTCACACTAGCGCTCACAATCACAGCCATCTTGTGCTGACACATA